TAAATTGGAATTTAAAATATATTTAAAAAACGTCACAATTTTTCCCTTGAATGATAATCATAGCATAAAAATATCAACCCATGGCAAGTTCGTTTTATATTACTTACGACATCAGTGTCGAAAAATCGGTATCTTGAAGTGCAAATGAACCCTTTCATTCGAAAGAGCTGCTAAGCACTTACAATGCACTTCGGCATCAAAGGTAAAAAATATTCCAACTGATATCTTCTGATTTAATAGCATTTGAAAATCGAGAATGCAAATTAAGTGTGACGTCTACTAAGGAATTATTTAGTATGCAAAATCACGAAAAAAAGGACATTATTCTTTTTTTATATCGAAAATAACATTTCCAGCTCTTGAATATTTGTGTTATTTTGACATTTCAACCAAACGCAAGAGTCGCAAACAATGAAAAACCTCCAGTCCAATTCCTTGGTTGACCATGCCACTTCATTGGCATTTTCAAATGCGAAAATAAAACTCAAACGATTTTTTTCTCCAAAACAAAGCTTAGATCATATTTGCCTTTTGTTAAAAATGTTTTATGACTCCAAAAGGGTGTGTTTATGTGCACTTTGATAGATTTAGTATACTAACCTTCTTCCCCACTGCAGTTAATTACAAGTGTTCTCGATATGAAAGCTCAACCGAGAAACAAATGAAACAAATGAAAAGTTCATAAAAACTCATTACAAATACGATTTGCATCATTGAATGAGTTACGTTATAACAATGACTGATGTATGGTTGTTCTACTGTTCGTATGCACGTATGCAATAAAGAAAGGCATGAAGAGAAGGAAACCTGTTTTATTAAAAACTAGTCTTGCGTTTATCAAAAAAAACCGCTTTGTAATTACGTTTCATTCTTGGACTTGTATGTAATATTCATACATCATATATTTTCCTATCTTATTCTCCGGAAACAAAAAATGGCTGAGGGCTATTCTAGAAATCTAAGTTTATCAGCCTGCAGGCTTAACTATTTCTTTAGAATTACTATAAATTAACTAAATCTTATCATTTTCCTAATATTATCTTTATTTAAAAAAAAATAATTTATTGGCAAATAAAGTTCTATTCTATTCTGTTCTGAGTGGTGAGGATTGGTCAAAAAACGCTGTATTGATCGACTATTTATTAAAAGATGTGCAGTGGAATAGCTATGAGAGGAGTTTTAACAAAGCCGTAGACATGGTAGCCATGGTCCGGTTTTCTCTTGGATAATGATTCTGCTTTGACTTTGTGCGAGTTTACGGCTTGAATGCTTCACGAGGGTTGCATAGCATAGGAACTCGTGGGTGAATCATGAAGATTTGAAATGTGTGATGAAATGACTAGTCTTTGCCGGCTATATATGCCATTCAAATGGATGCAAAAAAGGCCACAACCACGAGAGTATTCGTATGAAAAAGTTTTCAGCTTTTTTTGCGTTTTAATTATCCAACTAATTCATCCATATATGTTTTAGCATTTTAGGGGTTTACCTTAGATCGAGGGTTTTTAGTCTAGCCTCTTTCGATACATCTACTCGAATAATTTAACTGACTACAGTGTACACTAAAAATCGAACATACTCAGATGCTTGAGTGAAGGTTTTTTTTTGATTTTTTATTCCAATATAATGAATATACATAATACATTTAGTTACATTTAGTACAACAAAACAAAAAACAAAACAAAACACGAAACAATGAAAACAAAGATACTCATATTATCACCTTGGAAAATAGACTTAAAACACTTGGACTCGGATAAGTTTTTGTACATGGTACCCTAGTTATATAGCAGATCTCGAATATTTTCATACTTTTTCATGTGTGAGTGAAGTTATTCGTTTCTCTGCGCATATTTTTACACGAATCGCGAGTAAAAAGTGAAGTACTCATTGCAGAGTACCCATTACCCATCCATTGTCGCAGTTCGTTTCCTAAGCAATTTTGGAATGATATTCTAAGTTGACAAACACAGAAATTTGGCAAGAACTCGGGTTAGAGAGGCCCAGCCAATAACTCAATTCTCACGAAGCTGAAGTACTAATTTTAACAAAGAACAAAGCGTTTCAACTCCATAAGATACTCATTTGAAAAAATGTGTAACCATGGTGGCTACAGTGTTTAAAATAAGGCAATAGAGGTACCAGAACTTGTTGAAGCAACCAGTGGCAATTATTTGATTATTATGGCTAAACGGAACTTGCAACTGTTTCTGGAGCCCTCAGTTGAAATGGATAGTTAATGGATCCATTGATTTTGTCATACAGTTTGTCATCGTGAGCGTGAACTTAGAAAGAGGAGAAATTCTTTTAGCATTTATAAAAAGAAATCTAGAGCACCGGACTAAAAAGAGAAGGCCCTTCTGTCTCTTTTTAGTCCGGGAGGGAAAAGAGAGGGGGAAATCCCCCTCCCTTTCCCCTCCCCTGAATCCTCCCCTGAAAGTATTCTCAGTTTACAAGCACAAAATTTCGCGGGAACTAGGGCGAAGACACCGTTTTTGGACACATTTAACAGGTTTGATTCGAATCTGAAGTAGTGAAGGAAAAACAAAAAACGTTTCAGCTCCATCAGAAGTACAAAAATAAGATAATCGTTTCAAAACCTATCTAGATTTGATAACTGTGTCATGGTGGCTGTAGTGTCTTATCTCAGCCGATAGATGAACCAGAACTTGATGCAACCAGTCATTTAATATATAATTAAAACGAAACAAAGCTCTCGTCTGTTTGGCCGGAGGCTTTCACCTCAAGTGTAATAAAAATTCGCAATTATTTCCAACCCAACACTGTCGTTCAGAAAGTTGGAGTAGTGTTTTGTAGCATAATAAGTCAGTTGTAGTCATTTGACTATCACACTTGACCCAGGGGCTTAGCATATAAAGTTCTTGTTTGTTTCTTTGAAACAAGGGTAACGGTTTTCTGGGGCTGACACTTTTTGAAGTAGCGATGTTTCCGTTGAACTTTACTCCGACGAAGAATTAATGTCCCGAAACGTCAGTAAGTTATTTCACCGACTTTTTTTAAAATTCACAATTTCTTTAGAAACACCGACACAGTTCATACTAGATTACCGCTAGTTTCGTCATATCTTGCATTAAAGACTATTATTAGTCTGGTTGAAACTGAACGAACTGCACTAATGGCTACGGATATGTACGTATGCATGAATCGTTAGATTTTGTTTCATGGGTTTAATTAATGAGCTCACTTTGTAATGAGTACATCAACACGAAAACCAGGGCGTCCACGCTTCAAACAAAATGAGAAAACTGTAAATCCAAGAACATAAATTGAAAAAACTGAAAAAACAAAACCTTGACAAGTTCTTTATTTTACTAACTAGAAGGTGCAAGATATTTTTATTACAAAAGAATTTCCGTAGCACCAACGCACAATGGATATCGCAGTTTTGTAATGGGATCTGGGTTCTAGAGAATGATACCCAGTCCCTCTCCATGATTACGCACCACGTGCAATAAACAAAATGGCGGATTGCTTGGAAAATTAAAGGTTTTGCCAAAAATGGGTAAAAAAGTAAAGGTTGGGAAGCGAAGGAAGGATAAATTCTATCACTTAGCAAAAGAAACAGGTAATGTAGTGTAGTAACTTAGCTTTAAACAAAAATCACAAGCTTAACTGTGAAAATTATTGCCGTTTTTCTAGGTTACAGAGCACGTTCTGCCTTTAAGCTGATTCAATTAAACAGAAAATTTAACTTTTTACAAAGTTCTCGTTGTCTGATTGATCTTTGTGCTGCACCTGGAGGATGGTTAGTTTAGTATTTACTTAATATTGGATCATTCTCTAATATCAGCATCAAATAAATCTTCAAATATAATAGTTTAAGCACGAATATCATGGAAATGTTGTTTTGTTATTAACTTACATTTTATATTGTTCTTTTCAAGGCTTCAGGTTGCTTCAAATTTTATGCCAATCTCAAGTCTCATTGTTGGTTAGTATGATTTATTCAACTTTAGTTTATGTTCATTTGTTTATTTATCATCAATTGCTTTTGCGTTTCTTAGGTGTTGATTTAGTATCGATTAAACCAATCAAGAATGTTATTACATTCCAAGATGATATAACATCAGAAAGCTGTAAGCAGGTAAGTATTACTGACAGTAACATTGTTTTCCTATGTAACAATAATTTAATAAAGATGACTTCATTGTTACAGCGCTTGAAAAGAGAGCTTAAAACATGGAAAGCTGATTGTGTTCTTAATGATGGAGCTCCTAATGTTGGTTCAGCATGGGTTCAGGATGCTTTTTCTCAAGGTAAATTTTCTTACTCTTGTATATTTTATAACAGTACATGAAGTATTGTTTTTCTACAGAAGTGGTCCTCTTAGAATAGTATTGTTTTGCATATTAATTACTAATAAAGACTCTTCTTTCAGCTGAGCTTACACTTAGTGCCTTAAAACTGGCTACAGAGAATCTTAGAGAAGGAGGATGGTTTATCACAAAGGTTGGTGATGCTAAGTTAGACTTAAAGTATCGCAAACTAGAGAGTCCAAATATATGAATGGCTAATTCTGTGGTTTTCTAGGTGTTTAGATCAAAGGACTATCAGCCATTATTGTGGGTTTTCCAACAGCTGTTTAAAAAAGTTCATTCCACTAAACCACAGGTACTATTCACTGCATTCATGATGCTACTAAAGGTTGTCTTTTATGGATTAAACATGTATGGGTTCATTGATTAATTTGATTGTATCAGACATGTTATTTTTTATCACTTGTTTATCATTTGTATCATTTTACACAGGCTTCAAGAAATGAATCTGCAGAAATTTTTGTTGTCTGTGAGGTAAATTATTCAACTAGTAATAATTTTATGAAGTTTTTAAGAAATTCTTAAGCCAATTTTTGGATATTTGTAGGGATATTATGCTCCACATAAGATTGACCCAAAGATGCTTGATTCAAAACATGTTTTTAAAGAAGTTCAACAAGAGAATGTTAAGAAACCAACAATTCTTAACCTTGAGGTAAACTACCTACTATCTATGATATCATTACATTGTTTTACTTTATTGATTTTATATTCATGTTGTGTAGAAAAAGAAGCGTGCAGAAGGCTACAAAGAAGGCGATACACTGTTCAATACATGTAAAGTATCAGAATTCATTGCAAGTGATTCACCATTAGAATTATTGACAGATGTCAATCAGGTATGTGCTAACCTGTGCTATCTATGACATAATATACAGCCTCCAACTCATCAATTTCTTTTCTCAAGATTATTTTTGATGACAAGAATATATTAAACCATTCAACAACAACAGAGGAAATCAAACTTTGTTGTAAGGATATCAAAGTCCTTGGTCGACCAGACATCAAGTAAGAAAAAATCAAGCCATTGGATTGTGGTACTGTTGCTATGCAATGGGTTCAAGCAGTTAACTGAAAGATTGATTTTGAATTTATTTTTAGAAATATTTTAGCATGGCACAAAAGTTTAAGGAAAGAGTTGTATCCCAAAGATAAGTTAGAGTAAGTTGATACTTTGTGATGGTGTTCTCTAACACTGTAAAGACATGTAATCGATTTTGATATCTTTCTTCAATCAGATTTTCTGGTAATATTAATTGAATCATTAAAAAAACTGACTTAATTTTTGTTGATGATTTAGCAAAGAAAATGAAAATGACGAAGAAGATGAAGAGGTATAGTTGTTGTTGTGAATCCAGATGTGTCATTGTTTGTCAGTGTTATTGATTTGTTTAGTATTATTATTTATTCCTAATTTTATTGATTCAAAAGGAGGTAATACAAAATACTATCATCTCTCTAAAAGAAGAAGAGGATGCTGAAGTTAAAAGGTATGGTACCTTTACCTTAAATTATTGCAGTACAGTTATCAAAAACCAGGGTTTTCAAAGTTGTTAATGAACTACAGTATGTTATTATGATCAGCATTGTTGAATTAGAACTTTTTGAGTCATAATTTTAAAATGCAGGAAAAAGAGAAAAGCCCAACAACAGAAACAAAAGTTAAGAGAGAAAATGAGACTCAAAATGGTTCTCCCCGGAGATACTAAAGACATTGAAGAAGATGCAGAAATCTTTTCACTGAACAATGTTAGAAGTAAAAAGGTAAGAACTGTTTGAAGCATGATTTTCACTAGCAGTCAATTAAAATATGATTGATAGCATCTAGAGGAGATTGATGACATTGGTCCCAATGTGATGGATGATGGTGCAGCAGGCGTCTATGATAGCGATAAGGAAGAAGTTGAATTGGATGAGCAGACAGATGATGACAGTGATGATGATAATGATGATGCTATGGAATCAGAAGATGACGATGACAAAGAACCTGTTATTGAAGACAAGATACCATTAGCAACGTGAGTAACAGTACATATGTATATTGTGATTCCCCAGGCAGTCAATAAGTCAGTCAGTCATCACTTAATTACTCAGTCCTTCAGTCTATCTGTCAATCAGCTTGTCAGTCTGTCATTGTCTTATTTATTTATTTCTCTGCTCAATTCAGTGACTCATATTTCAATGTGTGTGTGCAAACATTGCATTGTAATTGTAAGTTTTATTAATCCTATATGAGTGTGATTTGTTTTATATCAGTACTACGAATAAAGAAAAAAATCCCTTGGTTGTTGATCTTGTCCCTGAAGAATCTTCCAAATTAAAAGCAGACAAGTGGTTCCAAAAGGTATGGGACATTATACTGTATCTGGTTAACTGGACAGTTGGTATAGCTATGCTTAAAAGATGTTCTCTTGTCTACGAGCTGCTTCAAATGATAAGTTCTCTATCAACTGCCTGAACACTGAAAGAGCAAGAACAATTGTCTAAACAGAGAACAACAGCAGGCATTAAAAAATATGTGCATTACTTGTTAGTTCTGATAAAAATATTCAACATTTGACAAGTTTGTGTATCTTTTGGTATTTTGTAGGATATTTTCAAAGGCCTAGAAGATGAGGAAGATGAAGATCTTGAAATCAGTCAAATGCTGGAAGATTATACAAAAAAGGGAGGGAAGCTAGTTGGTGAGTTTAGCTATATTTTCCAATATCCATTGATTTAAGTAATTATCACTTGAAGTTCCTGATTCTCATTGAAGTAAATAGTGAAGTATTTTCACTTAATGCATTTTTAATTTATAAAGGAAGAAAAGGAAGGTCTACCTAATATGCTTAAGACTATGGCACAAGAGGCTTCATTAGATTTGCAAATTGTTTTGTGATGAGTCAAGGGTCATTTCATTAATGTTGATCGGGTTAAATTGTTTGTTTCTGCGCTATATCATAAATTCATTCTAAGCAATGAAAAATTATAAGTAATATTAACTTATTGATTAAAATATTGTCTTTCTTCTCACACAAGTCATTAATTCATGTCCTGTATTTCAGCTAAAACCAAAATGACAGAAAATCAGGATGGCAAACCCATAGAAACTCCTAAAAAGAAAGCAAAATTAGATGAAAACAAAAATACTTCGCATGAGACAAGTAGTGATGATGACAGTGAAACAAGCGACTCTGAGAGTGATTATGATATGGACGCACAAATAACTGACAAAAAAGACAACAAACGCAATGACTTTGAGGAAGTACCACAAGAATCTTCAAGTGAGTGTTTAAAGGATAGTGTTTGCAGTTTGTATTTATGCCAATTCATAATATGTTCTTGTAATTGACGTTATGTGATAAAATATTTTAAACTGCGATGCTTCAGTATTGGCTGTTGATTATATATAATGTCCCAACGATTTTTGGCACTATTTATCCTGGTGATACCAGAGGCTCCTTATAGTCATACCTTGTCAATTTATGTTGGACTGACTTAATTCTAGGTTCATTTGCAAAGAAGCTAACTCCGGAAGGACTTGCACTTGGAGCACAAATGGCTTTTTCACGGAAAAGAAAAAGAGATATAATAGATGATTCATTCCATAGGTTAGTGGTGCTTTTGTGTCTGTATAATAAAAACACTGTCCAAGGACGTAGTTACATGTAATAAGATAAGGAAATAGGCTGTGCCTGTGTGAAAGACCTTGAGCAGTTTTACACTTCACAGAAAGACAGAAATACCAGGAAATAGTTTTCTGTGTGTTTTTGCTCATTTTCTGGTAAAATTCTACTTAGGGCCACAAGTTGATTAGTGCTTTGCACTATTAAGTGCTACCCTCACTAAATAAAGTTGTTATTATACTAGAATACTATGGACTGGACATATGGTGAAACGCACCCACAACCAGTAATAGCACACTTTTAAACTATGCTACTAGACAGAAAAAGAATGGAAATGTAATAGATTTCAAATGTATTTTTTTTAGAACATGGTATTATCTTTCATTTTCCAGGTGGTCTTTCAATGATGACAATCTACCTTCTTGGTTTACTGAACATGAAGGAAAGCATTACCAAAGAACCCTTCCAGTCACCAAAGAACAAGTGCAAGACTACAAATCAAGATTACAAGAAATTAATGCAAGACCAATCAAGAAAATAGCTGAAGCAAAAGGCAGAAAGAAACGCAAGGTAAAAATACAAATTTACAAATATTAAAATGTGAAGAAAACAGTGAATTTGATAAAAGCAAAAATGAAAATAATGAGATTGAAAGTTTTTAAGTTGTTAGTAACACATATTTAAGGAAGTTTGATTTATGAATTTGTTTTGTATTGACAGGAAATGAGAAGAATGGAAAGAGCACGTAAGAAAGCAGAAACAATATGTGAGTCATCTGACGTTCCTCCTCAAGAAAAACTACGACAGATTCAAAAGTAAGTATATTTGACTAATAATACTTCATGGAAAGAAAAATCTAACATTCTTTTTATTTATTTATTTGTGAATAGTCTATACAAGAAAGCTGCTGTCACCAAAAAGAAGAAAGAGCTGACTTACGTTGTTACAAAGAAACATCAAGGTACCTCCATAGCATCTGAAGCCACCATATTAACATTATTATATTAATGCCAACAATGATGAATTTTCCTTCAAATACCCCTATATGAATGTTATGTTGATAGATACGATACCCAACATTAAGTTGAGTTGAATTTTCTTGTGATAAATGACGTCTAAATGTACGTCGAGTCTAAATCTCTGTATTTCGAGTGATTTGTCTCACTAGTCTCCTTTTTTTGTTTAGCTGCCAAGAAAATGAGGAGACCCAAAGGTGTCAAAGGCCCTTACAAAGTAGTCGATTCCCGACTCAAGAAAGACATACGATCGAAGAAGGAAATGGACAAGAGAAAGAATAAAAAGGCTGGAWAAAGTCACAAAAAATAATTTATCACATCAATAATGAACACAAGAAATATTAAGGAACTTGTTCCCTGAACCATCAACATTTGTTGATGTCATTGTTCTTGTTACCTCAGGCGCTTTTAAAAGACGGACAGACGCGTTTTTGGGCCATGGAACGATTTTATTGATACTACGCAAAAATATGTACACTCAGAAAACTATGAATAAAGATTTTGATAATTAGATTAGATTTGCTTTAGCCTAAAGTATTGAATACCTTTGACATCTTTCCTTGCGTGATATATTTGATGCTACCCCACTCCGTCCAACCGTGACCGGGAGACTAGAGGGGATTATAACTGATAGAGAAAGAGGAAAGGGAAGGTCATTGTAACACTGTTCGTAGACGTTCGTCTGACTTATGAGATTCCTGTGTAATCTGTCGTTCGATCTCTGTCAACTGTTACACATAATACAAAGGACACTGATTTATTTTCCTCTTTTCTCTCATCCATTTCTTTCTTAGTCTCATTTTTCTGTTCATCTAACCACACAGTATACCGGTAACTGTACGAAGTCAATAGGAGACACAGGAAACCCAATAGGAACTACAGTAATCGACTTTGTTATCTGAGGCTCAGATCTTTCATTTTGAAATATAAATAAACATTTCCTTGCGATGGAGTATATATACGAAGTCGCTCATGTATCAACATTAATCCTATGATCGATAGAATCATCAACAATCAAAGTACACGATCTGAATCCCAACCCCGCAACGGGTTTACGAAACAATTTGTCACTAAATCTTTCAACATGTTAGCTCCATAAACCATTTGCGCCTGGGATTTGAAAAGTTTCATATATATATATATATATTTCTTTAATTTCTCGCGTTTTTGTCAACTCATTTAGTCGTCGATGATTTGCAACTCAAAAGTTGAGCTAGAAAAATCAATCACCTTCCATCGAACAGCAAATCATGAATGACGTTTCCCAACCCCCCCCCCCCCCCCTTAACGGTCCCCTCCCCCCTTAACGGTCTCTACTATATGTATAATTGTACTATAAAAGGTAATTGTAATTTTGAAGCTGTGTAGTTCTGATTGGCTCGTTACTCCCAAAGGATATTAGTGACGTCATATATTAGCATAGAACTTCACCGAATAGACTATCCCGATTAGGTATTAGATATATATCAGTGACTTCATAGCACGATGGTCTAAGAGGGTAGCTAAAGGTATGCTCTAGTGGGCGGCTACCCCCTCACTCCCTGGCCTTTTGGTTAAGACTAAGTTTTATGTGCACTCGGGATAGCGTGGAAGAGCCGAAATCTCTAACCGTAACGTAAGCCGATTCGACGCCTCAGCTTCAAAGAATGTCTCGGGGGAATCGTCCCATCTTTTTCAATTTTCATTTTATTATTTTTGTTATTTCTTGTCAGATATCCGGGGGGTGCAAGTTCCTCTAATCTTAAAAGACAGAGTTCGAGTCCATCTGTGGAAAAATGACATTTTTCTTTTCTTTTTTTTTTCTTTTTATCTTCTTCTTTCTTTCTTTTCTTTTTCTATGTTGTTGTTTTTGCTTTCTTATTTTTCACTCAAGATTTTATTCTTTCAAGCTGACTGTGCACAATATCATTATTTATTATTGTACATAGTCAAATATTCTATGAATTTCTATTGAATATAAACTGTATAATTCTTAATTGTATATTCTAATTTATTAGTCCTTGATTGGATACTGACAAATTTCAATAAAGTCTATCGATAAAATTTCTTAATAATAAATTTAACAAGCAAAAATTCTACATTTATTGTGCACAATAGTTTTCTGGATGATACTTGAAACCTAAAGAAACACGAATGTTATTCGATGGTCTTCCTGAAGTGATGTCCGCGACGATGCGCGGATACGATACGAACGAACGATACGATACGATACGAACAGAGCTATTACGGTTTAGTATTACCATACTAGTGGACTATTGCAAATCCTTCGTTCTGATTGGCTACGCTACTCGGGGTCTATTTTCAATAGTCCTCGACTAGCAAAAAGCGACAACTTTTTGCGTATTTTTAGCAATAAAAGTATTTTATCTAGTATGGTAATACTAAAACAATTAGATTGCTCGGGCTCGTGGACTACGAGCTAATAGAACATTGCAGACATTCGGCCTTCATGGTCTATCACCTCGTAGTCCACGAGGCCGAGAGATCTAATTGTTAAATATTATACTGTGGTGTCTGTGGTGTTGGGTCTCACATGCTGAACGACGAGGGTTATTTCGCACCAGGTCTCCTATTATTGTGCACTTAGTCTTCTAGACGATTACACCCGATTTCAAATGAGTGCGAACTCTCGAATTTTTTTTGAACGCTAAACTTTCACTCGACCGTCATTCACTCGACCGCTTGGTAACCAGGCACACGTGTTTAGTAAGTGATGCGTGACTTTCTGTAGCGGGACTTTCGCATTTAGAATTATAGAGGAAGGAGCGGTGGTCTTTGTTCGAGATACCTGTGGTCCTTGTGTTTCACAGAACATTCTACTTCACTCAATGCAATTGAGAACAATTAGAAGAATATCAACTAAACTTGATTAAAAAATATAATTTTCTATCTGATTTGTAGTTTAAATTTGACTTTATTAACTTGTAAACATCAAATGCATGCAAATAATACTTTGCACAATTAAGTATAGCTTTGCAAGAATCATGAACTTGCGGGTGTTGTTTTCTGCATCTTGAAAAGATATTCTTATGTTGAACTAAAATACACATTTTTCTTTTCTTTCGTTATGTAAACAATTTAAGTTTACAATAAAAAAATTATCAAGCAAGCGAAAAAATAATTGCAACATTGTTGTTTAAATTAAAGGTTGAAAACGAAGTAGCTTATGTTTAAATGTAACCTTCTTTCGAAGAAGTAAATATATTCTTATTCGTATTACTGTAAAAACCCTGATTGATTGAATACAAGTTTACAATGACACTTACATGTGTATGTACAGCAACATTTCCTGTACGTTTATAAAGTTGTCGAATTTTACAAACAAAAGTTTTCCCTACAAATAACGCTCTACAAGTTTCCTTAATGCTTGAACCGTAAATAAGTTCATGGTAAATAACCTTCCACCGAATATCGTCCGATAACCTCTTCATTTTAATCAGTAAACTAGTAAAATCAACAAAGAACAGCCTACGAACACTAAAAGCGATTTAAAGTGCGCGCGCTTGTCAGTGTTTGTCACGCTATTTATTTTTCAACTGTTTCGTTGTAATTGTGAGCTGAGAAAGTTAAGTAAACCGAAACTAGTTTTTACAATAAGTTCGTTTTGTAGTGCGATCACAAACTGTAGGAATTTAGCCCACAGACATACATTAACCATGGTTTTTATACTTGGATAATTTTACCTGCTTCAAGCTGTGCCAGGTTACCAAGTGGTCGAGTGAATGACGGTCGAGTGAAAGTTTAGCGTTCAAAAAAAATTCGAGAGTTCGCACTCATTTGAAATCGGGTGTAAAGGTTGCAAAAGATGCAGACTAGTGTATAGCCTATATGACCTCCAACTTTCGTATAGAAACTGTTTTGTAAGACAACACTCTCCACAATGACTATGTGCAATTTTAGCTGCAATTAATTAAGCTTTGTTAGTTACATCGCCTATTATGCGATGGGTGTGGCCGAGATAAATGTGTGTGTGGCCTAGCTTGTAACTCGAAAAGCGCGTAACTCGAAGATTACCCACCAATCACTTGCTTTTCATTGTGACAACAAAGGTCATACACACCACATACCACACATAAACATATATCTGTATCCATGCAATTAAGGATTTGGCGTCTCTGCAGAAAACTTCAAAACAACGTTCACGACATCCATTATATTCTAAGTCATGGAAGATAAGGTCAGACTGTTTCTCCTATATCTACAATGTGATTTCATAGGTCTGCTGCGTCGATGTGTGCTTAGTGATAATACAATTGATAATAGTATTGTTGTTACAGTGGAAATCGCTAGACATTTTATACAGTAAAGTCTCAAATATATAGTCTTAACAATCAACTTCATTCTCTATAACTACCACGGCTAATTAAGATAGACAATGCCATCCTTTTCGCTTTATTGCAAAAGAAAACTGTGGATCATCGCGGAGTTAGTCTGCAAAGTGTATACTACTATGGGACAGCAAAGGCTAAATTCAAGAACCCCAAGGCTAAACACTTTTGAAAGCTAAAAACCTCGAAAAAAGAAAAGAAATCCTGATCAATTACTCACTGAGGATTGGAATTCACAATTGAGGATATTATTAGATAAGTTGATATTCTCTAATTGAAGGCTTTTGCTCCAGTCTTTGACGTTTGATTATCTTGGCAGACATTAAGGTCAAACACATTTGTTTGGATTGTAAATAATTCTTCTGACAGTTCTAAAGTTAAGATTTCTTTGTACAATTTGACCTGGTGACCTTTGTGAATTCTAGCTTATTACTGCACAATTATCATTGACATCACTACACAGGAATCCCATGACAAGGTCTGCATTTGACGGCCAACCGTAACTTGATGTCCACTAATAAATAAGACCAGATAAATAAGACATAAAATGGCAAATTCTAGTAGCCAGACTGCATTTTTACCATGACCTTCAATCCTGCTAAAAAGGAATAAGATATGGTGATCTACATAATCCTCCAATAATTTTATGTTCACAGGAAGCCGAACCCTCCCCTACTGAGCAGAATTTTCTCTCTGAGTTCGATAATGTATTTGAGCTGGTGAATTCGTTTGGACGGTATCAAAAGATCGTGTACTTCACATCCTGTTTTCTAATCCTACTCTTGTCTTTCCCGTTTGGTTTCATGGTTTTTGGTTTTGCAACACCCAACTTCCAGTGTGCAGTGGAAAATAGCACGTGTGCGATAAACAAATGCTGTAACAACTGTACATCATACATGTTCATTAAACCTCCGTTCACTACAGTAGTAACTGAGGTATGATTATTTACTAGTAAAATATCAGACATTTTATTGTTGATCTCTTCTCTTTGGTGCATGAATACGTAGGCTCTTCTTACTTTACCATTTGAAATTACACACAGTATAAACCATAATAGTATTAACCATGTATAAACGTATGAAAAGCTTAGTGCAGTGTATATCATACGTGCATTTGTTTCAGTTCAATACAGTTTGTAACCGCGCGTACCTTAATGCTGTCATACAGTCATGTATGTTTGTCGGGATGTGGATTGGTGCAGTGTTTTCGGGGATGATTTCAGACGCTTTTGGCAGGAAAAAGTGCATATTCTTATGTAACGGGATTATGGTGAGTTTTAGAATGACATTATGTTGTCTTTATAGTCGATATTACATCATGTCCAAGACACAACATTAGCTATTTTGTGATATATTTGCTATAACAAACTGTTACGTTCATTTTGAACATGTTTAGTTTGCTTAAAAGCCTTCCACTAATAAGGTAACTTGGTTCACTTCAGACGGTTGCTGGATTCGCCTCATCATTTTCTGACTGCGTTTCCTTGATGGCTTTCTTATGGTTTATAATGGGTTTTGGATTGACAGGACTCACATTATCACAGTATATCTACGTTATGGAAATAGTTGGACCCAAAGCCCGTACAATGGCTGGTAATATTAATTGGTTGTATTGGTCGGCTGGTTATTTCCTCTATGTACTACTTGCTTACTATATCAGAGAATGGAGAATCCTTATGGCCGTTTCCTCTATCCCTGGAGTCCTCCTATTCCTATTCTGGAAGTATGTAGAACCATCATTTTTTTACGAAGCCTTTCTTTCCTTTTCCTATTCGTTGTCGCTCTTCTTCCTCCTCTTTCGTCTGCATCCTACCCTAACGTGATTCAATCTTCAATCTCTTACTTATGTTATTATTACTAATCTTTTGTTGTTAATTTTTCTAAGAATATTTCCCGAATCTCCTCGTTGGTTGGTTGCTCACGATAAACTCGATGAGGCACATGCGATATTGATTAGGTTTGGAGGAAAAAGCAAAGAAAACTTGGATCCAAATCGTTTAAAAAGTTTTCTCGAAGATGTTCGTAAGACACAGTTTCATTTGCAACATGGGACGAAAGTTTTTTCGCCAGTATCGCTGTGTAAAACTCCAAAATTAAGGAAATGGAGCGCTGCATTGGGGGTGAATTGGTAAGTTTTATGAACACCTTAAATGGGAATGCAGCTGCACTGGGAACTTAAATGACAGTATATACCAACATACGGTCTCCCCGCAAAAGACCGGAATATCTTCTTTTGTTTTCCAGATGTAGCTCAGCTTATTCACTCATTCTCTTTATCTCTAGACATTTGTACAAGAAGATTATGAAAATCGTTCAACTGAAGCCTTACCCCACATAAAGCATATCATATCATAGGATTGACTGTTTTCTCTGCAGGTTTGCGACCTCATTTTTGGCCAACGCGCTGTTTCTTTACGTTACCAGTCTATCGGGAAACATCTACCTTAACTTTACGATCATCCAAGTTATTGCTACAGTACAGCAACCATTCTTATGGATACTACTAAAAATGTAATCTGGTGCATCATATATTCTATACATCTTTATTCTTATTCTTTACATCTTCTTAATGGAACGTGAAATGAGTGCAAAGAATAAGCTTATCAAGAGGGGATTAAAATAAAGATGGACGGATGCTGGGAGGGGAAGGAAAGGCAACGACAGAAGTACATAACCAGAAGTGTCCATCTCCCCAATAATATCGCCACCATCAGATGTCTCGATAATCTATTTTTAGATACCCAATCACAACGCGCGCACATATTACACGGCACCTGATTGGTCCTTGTTGATCTACTTCAAGAGCGGACAAGAAAGGAAAATTATGTAGTCGATGGAGGCGAACGCATTTACGAGAATTTTACACCTTTTGCTGAACAACCATTTTTGAATTCGATAGAAAACATACTTAACTATGTGAGCAATGTAGCGAAGGAAGTTCAAGAGCAATATGGTCTGCGAAAACAAGGGAAAAGTTTAGACGACGATAAAAAAAAATTAAAAAAATCAGGGCGTAAAGAGAGATTTTTGTTATTTTCCATGCGATGTGTTCACCTGTGTTTTGTTATTCAGGTTTGGTAGACGTATTCCCCATATGGCCGTCATGTTGACAATCAGTGTCTTAGTTTTTTCAGTTCTGATTGTACCAAGCAGTAAGTATACAACACAACAATTTATAACAGAAGCCAGTATGTCAGACTGATGACTTGACTCGATGGTTCTTTGTTTTACTGTTTATCATAATATACCTTTCTTACATACAACGAATTACAAACACAACAGACAAAAAAAATATTTTTTACAGATTTTTGTGAGTGGCAAAGTGTACAACTCTAGATGATCAATATATTTTGACACATTACCACACTGTTCTATAATCCCAACGATTTTTGCTTGAAATGTATTTCAGAAACTATGACATCGACGGCATTGGTTGTCCATCAATAACCCGGGGGGCACTCCCATATATTTGCTATACGGGGACGTGCCGCTGGCCAGGGTATGGTTTTTGGCATTGCTGTCTTAAACAGGGTATACATTTCACCCGAAATTGTCTTAAACAGGCTCGACAATTTAGATAAAAGACCGATATATTTTTTTTGTGTGTCTTAGACAGGGTAATATTTTGATAAGAAATACCGTAGAAATAATAAAAATACCGTTTCACTGTCCCAGGATTAACGTGTTATCAAAAATTTCTTATTGTCTTTGATGGATGTCAGTATAATTGCACTTTTGATGGTTGCGGCGCAGATTGCTATTCCTTATTTTTCCGATTTGTCTTGAACAGGGTATGGATTTTCACTTTCTAGTGTCTTAAACAGCGTCAGGGATTTAGGCCGATGGCGGCACTTACCTATCCAAAATGGGGTCGAGTACCCCCCCTGGGATCAATAACGTTTCTATGGTTGACTATAAACTGATGCCAATGTACAAGAATGTTATACTTGAATGTGTGATGGAGTTGAGATTCATATTCACTATCGACAGCGCATTATGATCACATTCATCTTAATGTCATGGGTTATTTCTTAGTTATAATCAAATGGTTATCTACTTTACAGAATACCCAATGGTGAAATCAGGTCTGTTCCTAGGAGCTGCTGGCATAACGTTTTGTCTTTGGACGACGATTTACATGATCACATCGGAACTCTATCCAACTGTCATTAGGTAAATATTTGGTGCCAGCACTCAGTTCAAAAAAAACCCGTGATCTAGACCCAGGGGAGGGGAACTCCCTCCAAAACATGGGTGGGGGTGTGCCGCGCGACCCTCAAAACCCTTACCCTATCCCAGACTTGGAGCTTCGAAAAAAGGAACCTATCGAGCTGCACATATCCGTATAGCAAATATACAAGGGGAGTACCCCCTCCCCCTCCCCCGGGATCTAGACTAAGAGAAGATGGTACTGCCCCTCCCCCGGGATCTAGACTAAGAGAAGATGGTACTGCCCCTCCCC